AGGATTGCCCAACCTTCCTTCCGAGGAGTGGCTGGTGGGTTTGAACCGCCAGCCGTCTGGTTAGCAGGCAAGTGTCTTAGCCACTATGCTACCAGAGCTCATATATATATATATATTTACCACATTGTTTTTCAAGTGTTTTTAGAAATTCCAGGTAGTTTGAATGAGAATGATTAGGGTTGGGATGAGGTACGTGAAGGTACATTAAAATAGAGCCAGTCATAGTCTTAGGGACTGAGTGACGTCCTTGCATAGTAGGTAGACATCTTCTAGAATGAAACTCATCCTTTCTACAGGGAGGGCAGGTTATAGGGTCGACTTACCTTATCTCCCAGATGGTTTTAGCCCCTAAAAAAGCTTTGGGGCCAACAGGGATCCTTCTGTAATAAATAATTAAGACCAACACTGATCTTTCAGTACTCCAGCATTAAACATACATGCACACTCAAAAGAAAAAACAGTGAAATAAATTAATTGAGGGGTTATAAATGAAATAAGAATGGTGGAAATGTCATTAATGTGTGTTGAAACTGGGTGATGGATATATGTGTGATCATTGTACTATTCACTTTGGTATGTGTTTGAAAATTACCATTAAAACAAAAGTACATATTGACGCTATTAAATGGTGCTCTCTAGAAAAATACACACCAAATTATAATAGTGGTTGCTTCTAGGGAGGAGAGAGGGACCAATATTGGAGGTAGGGTCAACATGAACCTTAATTTTTTTTTTCCAAGGAGAGTATATTCATGAATGATTTCTATAAGTAACACTTTTTAAAATTGTGATGAAAATACACATAACAAAACATAAACTATCTCAACAATTTCTACAGTTCAATGACATTGATTACATTCTTCAAGTTGGGCAACAATTCTCACTGCTATCTTTTTCTAGATCATCCCCATTATGAAATAAATTCAGTGCCCTCTAAGCAAAAACACCATCTTACTCTCCCATTCCTGGTAACCACTAATAATTTTTTATTTGTATATATTTGCTTATTTCATATAAGTGAAATCATACAGTATTTGTCTTTTGTGACTAACTTATTTCATTCAGCATGATGTTTTCAAGGGTCATCTATGTTGTGGCATGCATAAGGTCTTCATTTATCTTTATGGCTGCAAAAAGGGTGTGGGGTGGCAGTATCTGACCTCCTCTAACTTCACAAGGGGGGAGGAGGATCCAGAACATCAATAGCCCAGAGCTGATTCCTATGAGATGGAAGTCAGACATGCTGCCATGCTCCAACCTTTTTACCAATTCTGACACCAACCATGGTACTCACTACTTCTCTACTAGGTTCGATAATTCATCGCAGTGGCCACCCACAACTCACAGACAATACTCTTATTGTCTTATTAGGGAAGAAAGGAGTTCTGGTGGTGCAATAACTAAACCATCTGACTGCTAATCAGGAGGTTGACAATTCAAACCCACCAGCCACTCTGTGCAAGAAAGATGGGGCAATTTACTTCTGTAAAGATTTACTACCTTCAGAAACCCAGTGGGGGTTGCTGTGAGTCAGAAACAACTCGGTGGCAGTGAGTTTGGTTTTTTTTAAGGAAGTAACAGGTCACCCATAGTGGACAGGTTACAGTGGAGCTTCCAGGTTAAGACAGACTTGGAAGAAGGAAGGGGACCATCACTTCTCAAAGAATTGCTCAGTGAAAATCTTATGAATGTAAGTGAAACACTGTCTGATGTATTACTGGAAAACAGGATGAATAGCCCTGAAACATTGTCCAATATAGTTCCAGAAGATAAACCTCAGGTCAGAAGGCACTCAAAATATGACTAGGGAAGATCTGCCTCCTGAAGAGTAGAGTCAACTTTAATGATGTGAATGGAGTGAAGATTTTGGGACCTCTATTTCCTGATGTGGCATGACTCAAACTGGGAAGAAACAGCTTCAAACATCCATCAATAATCAGAACATGCAATGTGTGAAGTATGAATCTAGGAAAACTGGAAGTTGTCAAAGATGAAATGCAACGCATAAAATCAATATCCTAGGTGTTAGTGAGCTAAAATGGACTGGTTTTGGTCATTTTGAATCAGACAACCATATGATCTATTTTACTGGGAATGACAAATTGAAGAGAAATGGCATGGCATTCATCGTCACAAAGAATGTTTCAAGATCTATCCTGAAGTACAGTGCTGTCAGTGATAGGGTAATATCCATACACCTACAAGGCAGACCAGTTAATACTACTGTTGTTCAAATTTATGCACCAACCACCAAAGCCAAAGACAAAGAAATTGAAGATTTTTACCAACTTCTGCAGTCTGAAATTGACCAAACATGCTATCAAAATGTGTTGGTTATTATTGGTGACTGGAATGCAATAGTTGGAAACAAAGAAGAATCACCAGTAGTTGGAAAATATGTCATTGATGATAGAAATGACACAAGTGATTGCATGATAGAATTTTGCAAGACCAACAACTTATTCATTGCAAATACCTTTTTTTCAATAACATAAATGGTGGCTATATACTTGGACTTCACCAGATGGAGTACACAGGAATCAGATTGACTACATCTGTGGAAAGAGGTGATGAAGAAGCTCAATATCTTTAGCCAAAACAAGGCCAGGAGCTGACTGTGGAACAGATCATCGACTGCTCATATGCATATTCAAATTGAAGCTGAAGACAATTAAAACTAATCCACAAGAGCCAAAATGAGACCTTAATTATATCCCTCCTGAATTTAGAAACCATCCAAAGAATACATTTGAAGCATTGAGCACTTATGACCAAAAACCAGAGGAATTGTGGGATAACATCAAGAGCATCATCCATGAAGAAAGCAAAAGATCGTTACAAAGACAGGAAGGAAAGAAAAGACCAAAGTGGAGGTCAGAAGAGACTCTGAAACTTGCTCTTGCATGGAGAGTAGCTAAAGCAAATGGAAGAAATGACAAGATAAAAGAGCTAAACAGAAAATTTCAAAGAGCAGCTTGAGAAGACAAAGTCAATTATTATAATGAAATGTGCAAAGACCTAGAGTTAGAAAACCAAAAGAGAAGAACACGCTCAGTGTTTCTTGAGCTGAAAGAACTGAAGAAAAAATTTAAGCCTTGAGTGGTAACATTGAAAGATTCTATGGGCAAAATATTAAATGATGCAGGAAACATCAAAAGAAGATGGAAGGAATAGACAGAGTCACTGTACCAGAAAGAGTTGGTCGATGTTCATGCATTTCAGAGGGGGTGGCACATGATCAAGAACCAAGGGTATTGAAGGAAGAAGTCAAACTGCACTGAAGGAATTGGCTCCAGGAATTGACAGAATACATACCCATTGAGATGTTTCAACAAACGGATGCCACACTGAAGGCACTCACTCAACTATACTAAGAAATTTGGAAAACAGCTACCTAGCCAACTAACTGGAAGATATTTGTATTTGTACCCACTCCAAAGAAAGGTGATCCCACAGAATGTGGAAATTATTGAACAATATCATTAATATCACATGCAAGTAAAATCCTGCTGAAGATAAATCAAAAATTGTTGCAGCTGTATATTGACAGAGAACTTACAGAAATGCAAGCTGGGTTCAGAAGAGGACTTGGAATGAGAGATGGCATTGCTGATGTCAGATGGATCTTGGTTGAAAGCAAAGAATACCAGAAGGATGTTTACTTGTGTTTTGTTGACTATGCAAAAGCATTAGATTGTGTGGGTCATAAGAAATTATGGATGACATTGAGAAGAATGGGAATTTCAGAACATTTAATTGTGCTCGTAAGGAACCTGTCCATAGACCAGGAGGCTGTCATTCAAACAGAACAAGAGTATACTGTATTTTTAAAAATCATGAACGGAGTGTGTTGGGGTTGTATCTTTTCCCTATACTTATTCAATTTGTATGCCAAACAAATAATCCAAGAAGCAGGACTACATGAAGAAGAACGTGGCATCAGGATTGGAGGAAGACTCATTAACAACCTGTGATATTCAAACAACACAACTTTGCTTGCTGAAAGTGAAGATGGCTTGAAGCACGTACTGATCAAGATTAAAGACTATAGTCTGCAGTATGGATTACACCTTAGCATAAAGAAAACAAAAGTCCTCCCAACTGGACCAATAAGCGGCATCACAATAAATGGAGAAAAGATTGAAGTTGTCAAAGATTTCATATTACTTGGTTCCACAATCAACATCCATGGAAACAGCAGTCAAGAAATCAGAGGATGTATTGCACTGGGCAGATGTACTGCAAAAGACCTCTTTAAAGTTCTGAAGAGCAAAGATGTCTCTTTGAAGACTAAGGTGCACCTAACCCAAACCATGGTATTTTCAGTTGCCTCATATGCATGTGAAAGCTGGACAGTGAATAAGGAAGACAGAAGAAGAGTTGATGCTTTTGAGTTGTGTGATGGCAAAGAATACTGAAAGTATCATGGACTGCCAAAAGGACTAACCAATATATCCTGGAAGAAGTGCAGCCAAGAATGCTCCTTGGAAGAGAGAATGGCCAGACTTTGTCTCACCTACTTTGGCCATGTTGTCAAAAGGGACCATTCCCTGGAGAAGGATATCATACTTGGTAAAATGGAGGGTCAATAAAAAAAGGGAAGACCCTCAATAGGATGGATTGACACAGTGGCTGCAGTGATGGATTCAAGTATAGCAAGTATTGTGAGGCTGGCACAGGACAGGGCAGTGTTTTGTTCCCTTGTACACAGGGTTGCTACGAGTTGGAGCCTACTTGACAGCACCTAACAACAACAACAATCCAATCATCTGGTGGAAGTCACATGACCATGAGTCACAAGAGCCATATTAAATAATTCACTGCACCATAATGGCTGAGAAGTGTTCCATTAATGAGCTCTGGCAGTGCAATGGTTAAGGCATTCGGCTGGTAACCAAAAGGTTGGCAGTTTGAACCCACCAGCCACTCCATGGGAGAAAGATGAGGCAGTCTGCTTCCATAGTAATTTGCAGCCTTGGAAACCCTATGGGTTTCCTGTAGGGTCACTGTGAGTTGCAATCGACTCGATGGCAGTGGATTTGATTTCGTTTGGTGTTCCATTGAGTGTATATAACACGTTTTGTTTATCCATTTATCAGTTTAACTGATGATGGACATATTGGTGTTTCCACCTTGTGGTGATTGTGAATAGGGCTGCAATAACACTGGTATACACATTTCTGTTTGTTCCAGCTTTCACTTCTTCTGGGAATACGCCTAGGAGTGGGATTGCTGGGTCATATGGTTGTTCTGTGTTCAACTTGAGGAACCACCAATTGTTTTCCATTTTTCCCTTGATTATTGCCATTCTAATGGGGTTAGGTAGTATGGCATCGTAAGTAACAGTTTTTTTAATTAGTAATAAACAATCATGAGACTTTGGATGATTTAATCCATCAAATTTTCCAACTGGAAATACGCATCCTTCAGGCTCAGACTCCAAATGGCGCAGTGGGAGATGCTGCAGAATCTCGACAGTCCATTTCAGGAGCAGCTCCACCAGCTCTACTCAAATAGCCTCCTGCCCGTGGACATTCGACAGTACTTGGCTGTCTGGATTGAAGATCAAAACTGGTGAGGCCTTTAGGAAATTGGGGAGTGGGATGGGAAAGGTAGTTTCTTTTCTCCTAAGTCCCCAAGGCTATGGAGACACCAAGGACAGGAAGGAGTGGGAGGTCTCAGAAGAGCAGCAACTTTGCAGGGGCAATAATCTTTGTCTTTCTTGGTTCCCAGGCAGGAGGCTGCACTGGGCAATGATGATTCCAAGGCTAACATGCTCTTCTTCCACTTTTTGGATCAACTCAACTATGAGTGTGGCCCCTACGGTCAGGACTCCGAGTGCTTATTGCTACAGCACAACTTGCGAAAATTTGCTAGGGACATTCAGGTATTTGAAGAGCTGAGAATAACAGGGAAGGAATGGGATCATATTTAGAGGAATAAGGGTTGGGGTAGAGAACAGAAACTGGAGGTACAAAGGGAAGGAGATAGGTCTGCAAGAAGGGGACAGAGTCTGGTCTTGGGAGATCACTGGCAAAAAAGAAGGGAAGAGTCCAGGTAACCTTGTTGGGAGGGACCTAGTGTTTGCAGGACCAGTAGTGAAAGAGGAAAGGTGTGGGGACTCTTGAGTGAGGGAGAAGTACTACAGATACTGGTGGGGAGAGTCTGAGGTGGGAGGTCATTGAGGGTGGTTGAATTAGATCAATCATTTTCCTTATTCTACTTCAGGCAAGTTCCAAGGGTCCTGCCCAGTTGGCTGAAATGATCTTTAATCTTCTTCTGGAAGAAAAAAGAATTCTGATCCAGGCTCAGAAGGCTCAGCTGGTGAGAAAAGTTTGTGGTGATATTGGAAGCTCCTGGAGTAGAAAGATTCCATGGAAAGGTCTGAGGGAATTTGTCTCAGAACACAGTTCTCCCACATCCCACAGTGTAACTTCAGGCCTGGGTTTCAGGGATGAAAGATCAGAGCTGAAACATGCTTCAAAACAAAACAAAACAAAAAACAGTGGCTGAGAAGTCAATTCCAACTCGGGGTGACCCTGTATCTACAGAGAAGAATGGTACCCCATAGAGTTTTCAAGGTTGTGACCTTTTTGAAGCAGATTGCCAGGCCTGTCTTCTGAGGACCCCTGGGTGGGTTTGAACCGCCAACCTTTTGGTTAGTAATAGAGCACTTAACCTTTTGCACCACCCAGGAACTCTGAAATGTGCTCAAAGCCTCTTATTTCAGGACCAAAGAGAATCAGCTGTCAATGCACCTGTGGAGAGCCAACAGCATGAGATTGAATCCCGAATCCTGGAATTAAGGTCTATGATGGAGGTTGGTAGATAAGACGAGAGTTGGGGTGGGCAGGCCTCAGCCCTGTTTCTCCCCACAGAAGCAACCTTGTCTGGGTCTCATCCCCTCTACAGAAGCTGGTGAAGTCCATTAGCCAACTGAAAGACCACCAGGATGTCTTTTGCTTCAGATTCAAGACCCAGACCCCAGGTAGGAAACACCCTGAGGGGTGGGAGAAAGATGCATGCCTGCTGGGAGGCAAGAGTGGAAGAGGACAGAAGGGAAGAGCTTACTGACTCTTACAGTGCAGCTGCTGTGCAAAAGTGGAAGTGCCAGGGTATGTGGTGGAGGCCAGGGACCGTTAGTGAGTATTGGAGGAGATGCATAGAAACTGCCTTAGTGGCTTTAGTGGGTTTCTGGTCCAAGCCTAGAAGGGCCTATGCTTTGCTTGGTTTCCCTTTCTTCTCCCTCCAAAATTCCCTACTTCTGACTCTGGCTGAGCTGGATGAGACCCCAGTCAGGAAGGAGAGGGATCCAAGCCCAGAGTATGGACACTGGTCTGATTCCTACTTCCTGCCATCCAGTGAGGACACCTTCTTTGGACCCTCATCAGGCCAAACAGCAGCAGGTTTTGCAGGAAACTATCAATGAACTGGACAAAAAGAGAAAGGTAGGAGACCAGGGAGAGAGGGCATGGGCAGCAGGGCACTGGGAAAACGAGAGACCTGGAAGCCCTGGCCTCTTGGCCTTGACTGCTCTGCCTACTCATCCTTAACTTAATGGTTGAGGGAGAACGTGAGAAGTGTTCAGCACTCATGTTGTCTCTTTCCTAGGAGGTACTGGATGCCTCTAAAACACTGCTGGGCCGATTGACTACCCTGATCGAGCTACTGCTGCCAAAGTTGGAGGAGTGGAAAGTCCAGCAGCAAAAAGCCTGCATCGGAGCCCCTGTAGACCATGGGCTGGAACATCTGGAGAAGTGGTAGGAGATACCTCCCACCCCTGTGCTCACCCCAGCTCTGGCTACCCCTCTAGGCTTTGTAAGTTGTAATGCTCTGTATACACGAAGAAATACTGCTCTTGTCAGTCTCTGTCTCTCAGAACAAACCCAGCTGCCCTGTCTGACTGCAGCTATACTCTGCTGCTTTATCCTTACCCTTCAGGGAGACCAAAACCCCTTTGTGAAACTGGTGGATTAACTCACAATCTAGTTTCTCCTTCCTTTTTAATCACCTCAGAAATATTTTCTATTTTTTTTTTTATACCGCAATAAATATAATGGAAAAAAAAGTCCAAAAAATTTTAAAGATGGTATGTATACATACACATATATACCGTCTTCAGTATTTTTTGGACATTTCTCTGTGTATATAAATTTTGGCCCATGTCATTACTTTCAATGGCTACATAGTATTCCACGACATGAAATGCTATATAGTTCATATAACCAATACCAGTTTTTTCTAATTTTTCAATTAGAAATAACACAGCTCTGAACTTCCTTGTGCATTTGTCTGATTTTTTTAAAAGATGTATCTTAGAAATAGAATACAGCAAAATGTATGCACAGTGTTTGAAGCTTTTGAAAAAAAGCCACCTTCTAGAAAAGTTGTCTCAGTTTGTTTGCTTATTATGTGTAGTGTTTGGTTGTTTTCCTATCCCCACATTGACTCTTGTAGTTTTTTATTATAGAGACAGTAAAGCATAACGGTTAAAAGCATGGATTCTGCAGTCAGAGTACCTGGGTTCAAATACAAGCTTCAGCTCTGACTAGTTGTATGACTTTGAGCCAGTCATTTGGTTATACCTCAATTTTATCATCTGTAACACAGAGATAATTACAATACTTACCTCACAGGATTGTTGTGAGAATTATATGCAGTAATATGTGTAAAGCACATAGAACAAATAGTGTATAACAAGCATCATAGAAAAATTAGCTATTATGTTAATCTTTTACCAGTTATATACGTGAAAATGGCTTTAATATATTTTTCTTGGGTTGAATCATGTGGAATGATCTTTTGTATGCTTCCTGGATTCCCTTACTTGCTCCGATCAATTTTTGGCTCTCCATATGACTACAGGAATGCTCTTGGGGCCTGGATCGGAGCTCCAGAAAACTCATTAATTCCCTTTCCTTTGGATTCTTACCACCCAGGTTCACAGATGGAGCAAAGCTGTTGTTTCATTTACGGCAGCAATTAAAGGAGCTGAAGGGATTGAGTGATATGATTACCTATTCCAAGGACCCTCTGGCCAAAGGGGTAGACTTGCGGAACGCCCAGGTCACAGAGTTGCTACAGCGCCTGCTCCAAAGGTCTCAAGCCAGGAAGTGACCTCTGGGGAGGGACAGAGGGAAGGGACAATGGAGCTAGTCTTAGCAGTTACTGAGCTTTATATTCTCTCCACTCTTCTGTCCCCAGTGCCTTTGTGGTAGAAACCCAGCCTTGCATGCCCCAAACTCCCCATCGACCCCTCATCCTCAAGACTGGGAACAAGTTCAGTGTTCGAACAAGGTTGGCATTTCAGAACTCATTCCTGCTTTCCTCGTCCAACCCTGAGTACTATGTGTTTTCTGCCTTTGCAGAATTTGCTGCTCTTGGCCTTTTCTTTTCTCTGTTCTCTTCCATCCACCTACCTCTTCAAATCCCTTCTCTTCTCTTTTTCAAATATCTGACTTGTCTAGGAGATTGAGGTTGACCACTCTTCCCCATCCACCTCCCTTCTCCCCAGGCTACTGGTGAGACTGCAGGAAGGCAATGAGCCACTGACTGTGAAAGTCTCCATTGACAGGTAAGTCAGGGCAGGTGAAAGGTGGGACCCGAAATGGTCTGGACATGAACTGATGGGGTGGAGGAAGTACCCACTCTTTATAGCAGGGCCATGGGACCCTCTTTCTTCCTCATTTCCTACCTCATACAAATAGTAACTCATCCCTTTTGTTAGAGACTTACTATGTGACATGCAACATGTCAAGTACTCATTAAATTGTCACAGCCACCACATGCATTAGGTATTCTAGTGCACCAAGTAAATGAGGGGGTTATGTCTTTTGCACAAGGCCACATAGCTAATGAGCTACACGGTTGAGCTCAAACCCAGGTCTGTGTGATCCTGAAGACCAAATTCTTAACCTCTACGTGGTTTTGTTTCCCAATGATTTTTTTGTGCTTCTTTTCAGGAATCCTCCTCAAATACAAGGGTAGGTGCCTGACAAGGATGCGGTAAACAGTTGTGTACTGTGTGACCCACACGAGCATATGCAGCAGCCCCAGAAGGAGCACAGATGTGGAGGAGAGGGGATTTGGGTGGGATATGGACAAAGGGAGAAGGGCAGGTCTGAAATAGAGTGGAACTCTGGTTGTTTTCCTGCTGGGTCTTTGTCTTCCATGTATCTTCTTCCTCCTGGAGCAGCTTCCGGAAGTTCAACATTCTGACTTCAAACCAGAAAACTTTGACCCCCGACGAGGGACATAGGCAGGGCTTAATTTGGGACTTTGGATTCTTGGTAAGAAGGATCAGACTTCTAGTCATAGAGAACAGGGGCTTAGGAAAGTTTCTAGGTCTTGGGAGGCCTTGAGGGCAAGATGGGTTCCAGGGACCCTGGAGTCACCACTTTGGCATTGTCTCTCCTCCCTCTCAATTCACAGACTCTGGTGGAGCAACGTTCAATTGGTTCAGGAAAGGGCAGCAATAAGGTGAGATCCGGACAGAGAATTTGGGGACAGAAGGGACTTACCAAAGGGCCCTTTGATCACTGTGTTCTTGGCTGTCCCAGGGGCCACTGAGTGTGACAGAGGAACTGCATATCATCAGCTTCATCATCAAATATACCTACCAGGGTCTGAAGCAGGAGCTGAAAGTGAGTGAGCATGGAGGGCAGGGAGAGATGAAGCAGCTTTGGGAGAAGGCACAAGAAGGGGATAAATAGGAGCCTTGCTCAGGGTGGGACATCACTGCTCGTCCCCACCAAAACATCTGCAGCTAGAAACATCAGATCTTTCTTCCTGTGATTCCTGCCGCCTTCCCAGACGGACACCCTCCCTGTGGTGGTTATTTCTAACATGAACCAACTCTCGATTGCCTGGGCCTCAGTTCTCTGGTTCAATCTGCTCAGCCAAAACCCCCAGGTAGGACATGGGGAAGAGATTGCCACCAAGGGAAGGTAGGGAGGAGAGGTGTGGGAGCTTGGTATGAAGGGGCTCTTCATCCTACCCTCCTTCCACCTCTGCAGAACCAGCAGTTCTTCTCCAGCCCCCCCATGGCCCCTTGGAGCATGCTGGGCCCTGCTCTCAGTTGGCAGTTCTCCTCCTACGTCGGCCGAGGCCTCAACCTGGAGCACCTGGCCATGCTGAGGGACAAGTTGTTTGGTACAGACCCTCCTTTTCACTCAGCCTCTCCCTGGCCCTAGGCTGCCTTGCCTTCCAACTCCTATCTATCCTAGGACCCCTGGCCTTGCCTCCTTCTATCATCTGAACCATCTATGGCTATCTGTCCCACAGGGCAGAACTCTAAGGCAGAGAGTGCGTTGTCCTGGGCCAACTTTATTAAGGTAACTCCCTGCAGCTAGATCCAGCCTTCAACCAATATTGACCTTTCCCTTCTACTCCTTCCCCACACTAGGGGCAATTCCACATCTTGCCTTTCCTCCTTCAGCGAGAAAGCCCCCCTGGCAAGATACCATTTTGGACATGGCTGGACAAAATTCTGGAACTAGTACATGACCATTTGAAGGATCTCTGGAATGATGGGTAAGGCCTTTGTCAGCCCTCTCCTCCCCAGGAGGCTTAGCTGCTTCCTTGGGCTGGGAGTCAACTCCACGTGCCCTCATGTGGTGAACAGGAGAGAGAAAACTGGTGCAGGGTCCCACGTCCTCACGTTTGTAATAATCATAGTCAGTAGGTGTAGCCAGATTTGTCCACCACCTGCTGTATCTCAGAGCCTGCTGGGTGCTCTCCGTGAATTATCTCATTTAGTCCTTATAACAACCTTTATTTTCAGTTGAGGAAATCAAGGCTGAGAGAAGTTAAAGAACTGAACTAAGGGGCAGAGTTGGGATTCAAATCCAGCCTGTCTGATTCCTAGCCTGTGCTCTTTTCTACCACACTGCCTGCAGATCTGTGTAGAATTAGAATATGTATAGAATGTTACAAGATACTTTAGATCTACATTATCTCACTGAATCCTTACACCTCTTTGAAACCTGGGAGGTGAGTATTATCTGGAAAGTGACACAGCTGGACCAAGATGGAATAATTTACAAGTAGCAAAACCAGAGCTAAAACCTGGCACTCGCTCCTTCTGCAAGGAGAACAGGGGACAGGGAAGCAGGAAGGCTTCACAATTGCTTTCTGTGATCCAGTTACATCATGGGCTTTGTAAGCCGGAGCCAGGAGCGCCGGCTGCTGAAGAAGACCGTGTCTGGGACCTTCCTCTTGCGCTTCAGTGAAACGTCGGAAGGGGGCATTACTTGCTCTTGGGTGGAACACCAGGACGACGGTCAGACTCACAGCTGTCCTGCCCTGCCATCCCCACAGCTCCTTTCTTCTGCCTGGCTCACCTCTTGTCCCTCTGCCTAACCCTTGGCTTCTCTGGCTCCATCCTGAGTCCTGAATCCCTCAGCATGTTTGGGGTTGGGCAGCAGGGTGGGGAGCTCCCAGGCCCAGCCTTGCCTCTCAGCCTTCCTGTCCCTGCAGATAAGGTGCTGATCTACTCTGTGCAGCCCTACACCAAGGAGGTGCTGCAGTCACTCCCGCTGACTGAAATCATCCGCCACTACCAACTGCTCACTGAGGAGAACATACCTGAGAACCCACTGTGCTTCCTCTACCCTCGAATCCCCCGGGATGAGGCTTTTGGGCGCTACTACCAGGAGAAAGGTGGGAATCATTGACACACTTCGCTGCTAGGTTACAGGAATCCTGAGGTGTTCCTAAATCAACTCCTTCCTGCAAAGATGGGGAAACCAATGTTCAGAGAAGTTAAGGGATTCTCCATGAAGCACTGTTAGTGAAAAGGAACATAGGACTTCTGGCACTAGTCTCTCAGGGCTTATATGTTCAACCCAGTGATCTCCTCGGCCTTCTGTGTATGTTGCCCACAGTTAATCTCGAGGAACGGAGGAAATACCTGAAACATAGGCTCATTATGGTCTCTAACAGGTAAGACGTGAATTCCTTGCCCATTTTCCTTATCCTTTTTGGCTGATCCAGTGAATCTAACCTGCCCGGTTCTGGTCGCTCCAGTCCTTTCTTTCTTCTCACCCACACTCTCCACTCCTCTAGTTTTTTCCTAGTCTTCTAGTCTCTCTCCTTTCTCATAATTTTCTGCCACCATCTTTACGTTGTCTCCACTGATGTTGCTAGGCACATCCATGGTGCCAAGCATGGTACTTAGTTTTTAAAAAAATACATTTTCATTTACTCCTTAAAATAGCCCATCAGAATACGTAATGATGATAGTAATAAGAACAACCACTGCATTTACTGAAAGTATGCCAGGCACACCAGACTAAATGCTTTACGTTCATTTTCTCATTCATCAAATCTTCACAATAGTCCTTTGAAGTTGACATTGTTATTCTTGTTTTCAGCTGAAGACACTGAGGTTTAGATTGGTGAAGTAGTATACCTAAGGTACATGGCTAAGAAATGATGCAGGCCTGTTAGACTCCAAAACCCTGTTGCTTTTCACCATCCTCTACTGCTTCTCAAATATTATTAAGTATTGTTGTTCACATTTTACAGATGATAAATCTGAAGCTCAGAGAAGTTAAGTTACTTGACTGAGGTCACTCAGCTAATAAACGATAAGATTCAAACTCTGGCAAACCTAACTCTAAAGCTCATGCTCATAAGCCTTAGACTAGAGACATCTCTGCTTGCTCTACCATTCCCCACTTCACCTAAACTACTAAGCCCTGCCCTCTTATCTGTCTTGGGGTATCCAGACAGGTCGATGAACTGCAGCAACCATTGGAGCCTAAGTTGGAGCTAGGACAGGAGTCATTAGACCTGGGGCTGGTACCTGGACAAGAGTCAGGCCTAAGCCTGGAGCTGGGGTCACTGCTGGATGCAGGATTGGATCTGGGGCCGGCACTGGAGCCTGTACTAGAGCCTGTGCTGGAGCGCGTGCTGGAAACCACGCTGGAGCCCACGCTGGAGCCCATGCTGGAGCCCGCACTGGAGTCCACATTGGAGCCCATGCTGGAAAGCACGCTACCTATGGTACCACCAAGAGTAGCAGAGCCAAAGCTGGGACCAGAGCTGGAGTCTATTCTGGAGCCTGTATCACAGCCAGTGCCAGAGCCAGAACCAGATTTGCCCCATGATCTGAGATACTTGAGCACTGAAGGAATGGAAAGTAAGTGATGAGATGGGGCTAGGGAAGAGGGGACCCATCCCTTGCCCAACTCCCCTCCCTTTTCCTATTTAAGAAAAGGCTGTGCTCCAAGCTCTCCATTGCTCATTTTCGGGTGGTTCCTTTTAAAAGGAAATGCATAAGCTTCCCTCCCTCCATTCTCCACTGTCTTCCACCTCTTATATACCCTCTTAGGCCTTGTCCAGGGCTCTCAGGCCAACCTCCTTACTTTCCCTGTTGGGTTGGTAACTCTTTATCTGAGATCAGGACGTAATTTCCCTCTCTGAACCACTTAGTCTTCAGAAACTATTCTATGAAGATTGAAGAAATCATGCTAAATGGTGACCCACCATTGCCTGCTTCGAACACCATGGATGAGGTTAACATCTCCTGCCCCAGCCATTTCCACATGGATGGACACTGGAGTCCTTCTGACTACTAGGAACTACATTTCCTCTGTTCTTTTCCCTATTTCTTGCCCCTCATATCCCCTATATCATGATGTTCCTCTCAAGAGATGGAAAATCAGGCATGTGCCCCTTCTAAAGTGAAAACCTGGGATTTGGGGTGTGAGGTGAAAGCATAACACAGGTATGGAAGGGCATCAACTGGTCAGAATGCTGGGAGTAGCTCTGAACAGAATCCTTCCTGGCAGCTGCTTGCTGTGGTGAGGAGTGTGAGGGGTGGAGAGGAGCCAGCCAGGATAGTTGAGGGGACACTTGGAGGCTCAGGGAAGTGGCTGTTTTCCAATATGCAAGGATCTCAACATTTGGATAGCTGGTAGCAAAATTAGGAGCCCTGGTGGCACAGTGGGTAAATGCTTGGCTGCTAAAGGAAAGGTCAGTGGTTTCAATCCACCAGCCACACCATGAGAGAAAGATGGCAGTCTGCTCCCGTAAAGATTATAGCCTTGGAAAACCTATGGGCAGTTCTCCTCTGTCCTGTAGAGTCTGAAGGACAGCAGATTTGGTTTTGCTGCACACTGGCATTGCATCCCCTCGGTGGGTAGGGGAGGTGCATTATAGGTCTCCATTTCCCTCTTGTGGCTCCTTCACGTCCAGTATAACCTTTTCCTTTCTTCTTACTCAACTTAGGTCCTGAATTTCTTCTTTTCCCACAGGGGCTGAGAGCTTTCTGCCTCACCCCACAATGTGAAGAAGGGGAGAGGAGGTAAACCTCTTCTTGCCAGTTTCCTCCAGTGCTCTCACTCCCCACCCAAGCTAGCTGCACCCATCCCTCCCCTGTAAACATGATGGCAATCAGATGTGCTTGTGAGCTTTGCATGTTTATATTGCCTAGTCTTCACTTCTCCTATGCTTAAGAGGCAGATCACTCCTGGAGGCCAAGGATGGTAGGGTTGCTGAGAATTTAGGAATTGTTTTTTTATAGTATAAGATAGACTTTGGTATTTTTACAGAGGAAGAGAAGTCATAGGTCTTAACTATTTGTCTATTATCATCCCCTTTCTTTTGTACAATATGTTGTTTACCTGAAAGGAGGGTATCTATACCTTGGGTGTGGGGCAAAGACCAAGTTCCTGGCACTTAAAACTTTAAAGGTTTATCATGGGACTCTGGGCAACCTCACACCTTAGCCATGACAGGAAACCCCAGGGGACAACCACCATTGTCCATACTGTGCTGTTGGTGTTATGTGAGATGTAAATGAAAGTGAGGCCTGTGTATGTGGCTGTTGTCTGCTTGGTGTGTCAGAGGAACAGTCCTATTTGGAAAGGGGCCCCTCTGAGCAGAAGTGACTAATAAACTCTATACCAACCCAGAAGTGTTTCATCTTTGCACTCCTTCATTTTTTGCTCACCGTCTCATATCCAGCAGGCCATATAGAGACAGAGCAAATTGTATAACTTCTGTTCCACCCATTACAGTATGCCCCTGTTATGTTTCTTTAGTCTTCTTCCCTCCCCTATTTAGGGCAGCCCTTCCTGTCCCTTAGACTCTTTCAGGGGCACTTTAAACTATATATGGGGGGGAGGGGCACAAGTATGTATATAACTAGCACAGTGTCACTCAACTGGTTGGTGATAAAGCCAACAAACAAACCCGATTCTTCCTGACTCTATAGTCCATGCCCTTTCCATGCTGCAACTATGGAGAAAAAGAAAGGAAATAATCACTAGCCCCTTCCTCTCTCTTCCTTTCAAAGGTAGTTTATTTAACATATTGGGTAGCCATACTCTCTTCTGAAGAGGCCTGCAGATGTCCTTTTTAAAGGGAGAATCCTATTGGTTTTGGGGATTTACCTTCATCTTCCTGGAATGCCCTTCTTACTCAAAATGGAGCCCTGACTTTTGTTCCTGTGGTGATCAAGGGCTGTGTCTTTGGCCAGAAAGTAAAGAAGGAGGCACTGAATCGATTATCAAGTGGGGGGCCACATCCAGAGGCCCTACTTCCTAACCGCAACCTTCTGGAATCCCACTTTGCTTGCTTAGCCATTCAGGGATTACAACCAGAAAGATCCCTGGTATCATACTATACACCAAAGGGTCATGAGAAAATATCCCTTTCCACCATTACCCTTCTGTGGTGGCTAAGTTTCTGTGTCAACTTGGCTGGGCCTGGTTGAGTGGCTGGTCAGGTGGGTGTAGTATTCCCCATGATGGGACTGATAATCAACTCCATGGTGGAATCTACTGTGAGCAGCTGAGTAGCTGCTTTGGGTATGTGGTCCGCTTCCCGTATATAAGAAACAGCTTTGGGAACGGTCTCTAGCTAATGGCACACTTGGATCCTGCATGTAGCTGTGTCATTGTTCAGCAACCTGCCATGCTCTGCTGACCTGGGGACTTTTCAATGGATGAATGGCCTGCCGTGTGGTTTGGTAACTTTGGGACTGTGCCTTTTTACTTGTCAACCTTGGGCTTGTCAGTCTCAGCAGCCAGCAGCTGAGTGAAGAAAAGCCTCTAGCTCTAGTGGACCGGGAGGGAGCAGGAGGCAAAGCTGAACCCCAAGGTTGAGGGGCTTTCACCTAGAGCCTGGGACTTTGAACTCAGACTTAAAGCCTTCAAATTGTAAGAATAAACTCCTGTTTGTTAAGGCCATCCCATTCGTGGTATATATTCCCATCAGAGTGGCACTAGGGAACCAGAACACCTTCAGAGTAGGAGAAAGGGGGATATTGTAGTCCCTTGGCTCCATTTTTCCATTCTGTTTCTTTCTCCCAACCAAGGCTAGAAATTAGACCCAGACATTGACATAAATAAATCTTTATTGAAAAAGTACATAATTCAGTATAAATATAATAAATAATCCTCCTCCCATGAGGATAAATAATTCCAAATAAAGTACTCTTGTCATCTAATAAATAGTCAGCATTGTCATAGGTTAGCATAGTAAGTCAGTCAGTGTTGGTAATTATTCAACATATGCCAGGCCCATTAGAATTAATGGGCTAATTGTTGGCTCACATGTTGCTGGGGTGATAGATTGATCTCATCATTTTTGAGCCATGGAGGCCTGGGTGCCATTCTTCAGCTTTTGGCTTTAGGGGCTCAGAGTTGCTGCTCCATGGGCAAAGACCCGAGCAGCTACGGCCACAAAAGCCTGGAGGCTACGAAGGATCTTGAGGCGCAGAAGGAGGCGCTGCCAAGGCAGGCTAGGACTGGGGCTTGGAGTCAGCTCAGTCTCCCTGTAGTGACCCTCATGCTGAAAAGACACAGGACATAGTCAAAGACGACTCTAGAACTTAGCCCGCTGCCCCAGCCCCTGTCTCTGATACCTGTAAGTCCCCATCCTCCAGGCCCCCAGTTCATACCTGCAAGAGTTGGCTGAGGACCAGTAGGGAGGCATGAAGCTGGCCCACAGGGCCATCAGGGAGTAGAGAAGGCTCCCCTGTGAAAATGTCTGAACCCAGCAGCTTCTCATAAAAAATCAGGCCCTGGTGGATCCTTTGCAAGCAGAACTATGGAGAGATGAAAGCAGTAAAAGAAAGTGAATATCCTCCTCCTACTCCATTCACTGAAGACCCACCCAGTTCTCCTTTACCATCTCAGACACAACTTCTCATTCACCATTGTGCCCAGCCATGTCCCCAGGCACCTCTCTCCCTTGTGGCCCAGCTCCATCTTAATGGTACCTGACTATTGTCTTTGAGTCCTTGGGGATCACAGCCATCTTCACACTGGATATGGGGTACATCACTTGTAGTCTCGTCATCTCCCTCTTCTCTTGGGACATCCTGAAATAGAGGAGACAGTGGAAAGAGTAAAAATAATAAAATAAAATGAGTACTTTCAAACCCCACCTGGACCCTCAGGTCCACAGTTCTCCCAGGAACCCCACACTCTTGCCCCTTCTCACTCTTTTGATGGTTTTGAACACTCCAGCTTCCACCCAAGTCCTCAGAGTCTCCCATTGCAGCCTAAGAAGACTTGGAAAGGTTCCTATTTGGTCCCCGGGGCTGCCACTCACCATGTATCCCCTTAGGGGATGTGTGTTCCAGGCCAACATGCAGAGTTTCTGGGAGAGCTGCTGGCCCTGAGCCCAGGCAGGGCTCCTGCTCCCAGGCACGGCCAGGCCCTGAGCAGTCCAGGGCAGCAGCAACAGCAGCATCACAGCTCTACTCCCCAGCAGCATCTTGGTGTCTGATTCTCAAATCTGGCTGGCTCTTGCCTGACTCCAGTCCTCGTGGGATCTGTCCACTTCCCCGTCTAAGTCTGATTCTCTCTGTTCTGTTGTTCTGTGTCTCTCTGGTTTGGTTGCAGCTGTTGTTTCTCAGTCGCTTCCTGTTGTTTTTCTCCTCTTGTCTCTGTCTCTTTTTAAGGTCCCTGCATTTTATGGCCCGCCCTTTATACTAGCAGGTGACTCACAGCAGGTGGGATTCCCCTCCCTGCATCATCCCCCTTCTTGGGGAGCCCAGGTATGTAGCCTCAGTTCCAGGGGAAATGAGTCGTTTGGTTGCTGTGGCTGGAGGCTTGGGATGGGACATATGTGTAATGCTCTCCAGGAATCAGAATGGCTGTAGAAGGGCTAGGGGGTGGGAATATTGAATATTTAAATTAATCTGGTCCCAAGTTCCTTCCTGTCTAAACTTTCCCTGATCTTTTTGCCTCTCAACACTATATCCTACCTAATCCTTTATTTTCTCATCTCCCCTTTGAGGAAAAACAGAGAGGAGCACTCATTCATCCCTAAATAGGGTGACAAGCTTAGTTCAGAATGCAGATGTTTGGTTCCCACGTGATGCTGCCATCTCAAAAATAAATAAATAAATAACCCTTTGCCACTGAACTCAGGGCAACTGCATGTTACAGAGTACAGAGTAGAACAATTCTATAGGGCTTTCTTGGCTAAACTGTTTATGGAAGACTGCCAGGCTTCCTTCTGCAGCACCACTGGGTGCGTTCGGACCACCAACCAGGGACCTGGTCTCCGAATAAGGGATGTATTTTCTACATTGGGAACAGTATTATTTTCACTGGGTGGTGCTGGTGTCATAGGAGAGAATAGACGTGAGGGCACTTTGTGAACTGGGAAAAGGCATATAAGGTATCATTGCTCCCTCACTTCAGGCCTCACTGTGGAGGTAAGAAGAGTTGTTGCTAAGAACCACCTGATTCCTCAACTCTAGTGGCCCAGGTTTCTGATCTTTTGAGGGGCTAGTGTAAGCAGGGGCTGGCACTCCAACTCAGACATTCCAGAACCCAGCCCCTCCCTATAGCTAGGAAGGATAGTAGTTCTGGGTAGGTGAAGGTGCACAATGTCAATGACCCAGGCCGGTCCTTCAGCCTGTTGCACCCATGTGTAAAATCCACTAACACTGATTTCATCACCCTCCCTGATGCAACATCCAGTGAAACAACTGAGAGTGTGAGGTTGGGCGTGGGAGTAGAGGGTGGTCCAAAGCTGGGGCTGCCCCGGTCCCAGTGGAGGGTCCCAGGACAATTTGGACGTAAGTATGTGGCATGGGTGACCACACAGCTGGCTCCCAAAGCCTCCCCAAAAGGTTGACCCTTTTCCTCTGAGAAACTTGCCTTTGAAGGGGGTCTCCCTTCCCTTAAAACCATTCAAAACTGCCCAACGAAACTTCTGGTTCAAATATTATGACTCTGTGGTAAATCCACCCTTTGGATGAAACATACTTCCAGCATCAGAGAGGTTATCTAAGGTTGGGCGAGAAATGGTTTGCCACACACCACATAGAGCAGACACAAATGGAACAAGGAAATTGGAGGAAGTGGGGTAGGGGAGCTCACCTCACTTATATGTTTCTTTTGCTCTTCCCACCTTTAGTCCCCATTCTGAGAGCCCTGAAGGATAGGAGATGAAAGGTGAAAAGGAAGAGGAGGAGGAGGAAGTACAACCCTGGGGGTGAGAGGGTTAAGGGTGAGTTGGAGGCACGGGGCTCTGCCGCTTTGTTTCACTTCCTGGTGCGACGGGACGTTGCATAGGAAGCAGGGATGGTGGGGCAATTGTGGGACTGTTGCGTTGCAGGAATTACTTCCAGGGCTACATCTGACCTGGAGCCAAAAGGAGCCCTTGACGTCAGCTGGGGCTCAACCGTTATGCAAATACAAATCACATTTGCAAGACACTCCTAAGCAAGCCTTTCCAGTTAGATGTCCAGACTCCAAATCCAGTTGAAGATTCCCCAGATAGTTAATCACAGTGGCTAATATATATCCAACTCTCACTTTATACCAAGTACTTGGTCAAAGCACTTCACATTTACAACCCATTTAATTCTAACAAACACCTATAAGATAGGTACTATAATGATCCCCATATTACAGGTAAAGAAACCGAGGTGCAGAGATAAATAACTTGCCCGAGATCACACAACTACTAAGTGGTCAGAATCCCAGTGTAGAAAGTCTGGCTCCAGAACCTGCATTCATAATCACTGCATGATGTTCCGCACTGTGAAGGGGAGACAACAGTAAAGTAGCTAGTTAACTACAGGTGTCTCCTGAAGTCTGCACTCTTTCTTAATTTGACATCTCTATATGGAGATTTCTTGAAGTATAGGAACCATCTAAATCTCTCAATATCTACCTTGTGAGGTTTAAAATCAAAAGACCCATGAAGTCACATCAGTTTAAGAACTCCTCTAAGGTGTTTTTCTAAGTCTTGGACCCTTCTGAGTCCTGGAAGTCTAAATTCTGGGGTCCTTTTATGGAAATCTATCTACCAGCCTTTACTGAGGGAGAAAAATGCTTTGAAACTGTATGCTCCATGAGGAAAGAATAACTTCCACCAGATTCCCTCTGTAGTTTTTAGAAACAGTGGTTAATGTTGTTGTTGTTTCGTGCCGTGGAGTCGGATCCGACTCATACCGACCCCTCCTTGGGTTTCCGAGTATCACTACAGAAGTAGATTGCCCCATCTTCCTTCCGAGGAGTGGCTGGTGGGTATGAACCGCCAGCCTTCTGGTTAACAGTCAAGTAAGTGCCTTAGGCACTATGTTACCAGAGCTCCCACAGTGGTTAATAGGTGAGCTAAAGTGCCCTGGAGATATCTTAAATTCTGGATCCCTTCCAAAGTAGTTCAAACTCACAGCTGGACCCCAACAATCCTTCCGAATAGCTGCTGTGAAATAATCCATGTAAGTTTTGGGCAGGCAAATGTCTCAATTTGTCATATTTATCCTCTGGCGGATAAACTCCAGCTGTATAAGCCAGGGGAATTTGCCAGTTTGAGGAGCTTGTTCTCTGGGAATGTTCCTGGGGCCTCAGAGTGGGTACAATCACTGTGTGAGTTTCAGATGGATGCCTTAAGAATCCTAGAAGATGCAGCCACTTGGACGGTGTCAAGCGTCTTTCTCCCGCTTCCTTTTTAGCTCCTTATCTGAAAACGATAGGAAATGCCAGCGAGTTTCAGGGGCAGAAGGGTCAGAGGTGGTGGGTAGCTTACAAGAGCACTGCGGGGAGAGGGGGTGGTACAGATCACGCTGGGAATATCCAGCAGTCAAGTCCCCAAACTGCCCGTGGGCGCCTATTTTAGTTTCTAGAGTTATAACCCAGAAAACCAAACCCAATGCCATCAGTCGATTCCAACTCATAGCGACCCTATAGGGCAGAGTATTAGTTTCCAAAGGCTTAATCTTAACTGAAGCAGAAAGCGTCATCTTTGCAGCTGGTAGGTTCCAATGGTTAGCAGTCAAATGCCTTAACCACTGTATCACCAGAGCTCCTTCTACAGTTATAAGGGACAAAAAAGTCCGGCGTCCAAGTTTGGAGCTCTTTTATTTATTTATTTTTTCAAAAAGACTTAAGAGGTGCTTCTCACAATTCCAAACAGAAGCAAGGCTCACTCTGTTTGTCCCCATGTGCGCCCCGTAACTCTCGTTTTTTGCCTAGCATCTGCGTCACGCGTTCCCTCCTGAAGCCGCCTATACCTGTTTCCTTCTGATTGGCCCAGACGCTGCCCGAACTGATCCTGATTGGAAGCTGCAACTGGGAGTGGACGTCCTTCCCTTCTTAGGGTTAGGTTGAGCCTGAGGCGCGGGGGAGAATTGGGGAAACTGGAATTTCCCGCGGAGCTGACGGCGCTTGCTCTCCCCCTACTCGTTTTAATTCCACGCGCTCCAAAATGTCCGCCATGGAGAAATCTTGGTAATGACCCATTCCCCATAAGCATCCCAGGAACACATCTGACCTCTGCCCTAATCCCTCCCCTCCCTGCCTCCTGGGGGAGAATTCTGGGTAACTGATTTCTCTGTTTCCCCTAGAGGATTCTGGGTAACTATCCATTACCATCACCTCCCCCTACCCCCGCCCCAACTGTGGATAACTGGCCCTTCTTGTTTTTCCCTGAAGAATACTAAGTAGCTTCATTGCAGAGGATTCTTGTTCTCCTTACCTCTCAACTCCCCACCCACAATTCTGGGAAAGAAACACTTTAGTCCCTTTTTCCTGTCCTCCCTCCCCCCAGCAATTTCTGCCCCCTTCAGTTGATGGTTCAGAAGTGATCCAAGCAAGTGAAATGTGAAGGAAAGGGAAAGGGAAGTCAAGGATTAGATTAGGGGTGGTGGCGGGAGTGGACAGAGGATTTAGAGGAGGAGGGAAAGGGACAATGGCACTCCTATCTCCACCCATTGCTCATCCTCTTCCTGCCTGTTTATCCCCTACCTGGCAGCCTCACCCCTTCCTGCCTTATTGCCCTCTTTCCCACACAACCTAGAAGACACTAAGTACCAAAAGCTGGGCCTACCCCTGACTCAGCTACCTCTTTCCCCTTGCAGGCCATGATGTTCATTCTGTATCCACTGGTGCTGTGCTGTCCTGCTGAAGGTTGGGTCAGGCATCTAAGAGGGCTGTGGCAGGGAAGGGTGTGACCTGGGTTTTATTGCTGCCATTATCATCATGAACTTCGAGGGTCTGGACCCTGGACTGGCAGAGTATGCCCCAACCATGCATTCTGCCCTGGACCCTGTCCTGGATGCCCATCTGAACCCAAGTCTGCTGCAGAATGTGGAGCTGGACCCAGAGGGAGTGGCCTTGGAGGCTCTTCCAGTCCAAGAGTCCATGCACATAATGGAAGGAGTCTACTCTGAATTGCACAGTGTGGTGGCTGATGTAGGCGTCCCTGTCTCCGTCTCTCACTTTGACTTGCACGAGGAGATGCTGTGGGTGGGGAGCCACAGGGTAAGAACCCCTTTGTAAGAGCTG